AGATTTTTCAGAAACATAGGGGTGAGGAAGAACACGGAAAATTTGAAGAGTGGGGAAAATGACTCTTGTAGGCAAGTCAGCTTAGCCCTTTAAATCTTCATCTTCCGGATCAGCGTGGAGATCTGCCCTGCACATTGAAAATTCATCTGCCTAAGTACATGGAAACTTGTTGAGACAAATTCAGGATGTTTTTACATTACTGGCAAGATGAACAGGGCAAGCAATAGAAAGCAGGAAATGTTTCATTTACAAACCATTCTTGGAGTCAATTCTATTTGCTATTTACATTAGTTATTGTAGGGTGATTTCTAATATTAGTTTAAACGTCCAATGTAAGCGTTAGCTTGAAGCGCTGGCTTCACATTCCCAGTACAATAAAGCAAATGGTTTCTTTGCTGAACTCCGCGACCTCCCAGATGAAAAAATGATTGTAAAATAGAAAGTATGGTTTCATAATGTCGTTCATAGCTCCAACTGCAAATGCATGATTAGCTATATTTGCAACAGTCAAAGGGCTAAGTGAAACGCCTGGCCTTTGATCAAGTGAACAGTATATATGCAGAATCAAAAGCTAAAAAAAAAAATAATCTTGCCTTGTGCAGCATGGATAAAAGCAAGCAACATGTGCTGTTGCTGCACCCAGGGGAACAGATATAACATGGAACTGGAAACGTGCTGCACTCAGCATAGGATGGTGGCACCGCTCCTGTGGGAGGTGGCCTTAGTCCTCCTGTGCTTTCCAGGGATGCTCATTGGTGTTTTCATATGGATATATAGAATCACAGAATGGTTTGGGTTGGAAAGGACCTTAGAGATCATCCAGTGCCACCCCCTGCCACGGGCAGGGACACCTCCCACCAGCCCAGGTTGCCCAAAGCCTCATCCAGCCTGGCCTTGAACCCCTCCAGGGGTGGGGCACTCACATATATCCTGTACATTTCACTGTTTTAATATAAACTCATCCTGGTGGTGACGCTAAAATATCTTTCCTCCCACAACAGAAGACGAAATTCTACAGCACAGCAACACAGGAAAATTTACTAAGAAAGAAAAGTGAGATGAACAGTAACTATGATACTGCACAAACTCTGAAGTTACATGTTACGGCTGCAAACAAAACCCTAGTGCCCTGACCATGTCTATTATAACAGAATTCCTTATCCAAGAGGTGGAAAGAAATAGACAAAGCAGAGAACCATAAAACTTTAGAAATGCATCAAATAGGTGCATTTCAGCCTAAATTCAACAAAAAAAGCACCAGTGGGTTGTTCATCAATGTTGACAATAGGACAAGTTATCTCACAGACGTATTTATTCTAAGAAACTCAGACAAGCCAACTACAGTATCCTAAATTCATGCCATTAAAGGTTTTATCTTGTTGCCACTATCATCAAGAAACACAGCCAAAACTGTGTCTTATTTCTGAGCTTTCTGCTGCAAGGTGAACAAATTTTCTTGGAGTGAGAAAGAAGTCAATTTTTCTGCAGTTTAAGGCAACATGAAAAGAGTTAGCAACCATTCACACAAAGCCTCCTCATCCGTAGCTGAATGCAGCTTTCTCGGCGAGGGATGAACATAAAAAGGGTATGTCTGTAGCACAGAAGAGTGATTACAAAATAAATAATGGCTTAGCTTATCAGATCAGGTTTGCTTATTTTCATGAGAACTACCACCATCAATCAGGAATCAAGTAGCTACTATTCACATCAGAGTGAAGCAAAGATAATTTGATACGTAAAGCTCTGAAATAGACATAATTTGAAGAGGAGTAAGCAGGTGTTATTTTTTTATCAACTCCATTGTATTGCTTTAATAACAACAATCTAATTTTTTGAAAGAGCTATTTAACTTTTCCCAGCCAGAAAGCACGTGAGAAACTGTCTCCCCGCCAAAGCATGTTCTAAACTCATACAGCACGTTACACAAAACCGCAGCTGAATGCTGCAAATTCCTTCATGCAATTAAAATCTCAGAACTGTCAAACCTGTAAGTAGCCTTTCCTCCAGCCTTGACAAATACATCCCTCATCATTTCATTTCTGTGCAGATTGATGCTCCAAAGCTCATTGCACTGGCCAGGGAACTGCCAGCTTCTAAACCTCTTCTCTTTCCTGTGACACCAAATTTAAAACTCTACTTTTTACAGCTGAGGCTTTTGCTGGTTTGTTCCCACACCATCCCAGAGCAAGCTTATGAAAGTTTCACAGTATCTGTTAGGCTGGTGAGCTGCAGACTGTTGTCTCTTCTGCTGGCCAGTACCAACTCACTGTTTCTCCTATTCTGCAGAAGGTATGCATCCATCACAACCTGGCTTGTACCTGCTGAGGTCCCCATGTGAGCGAGGTATCTGAGTTATGGAATCACAGAATGGTTTGGGATGGAAAGGACCTTCAAGATCATCGAGCCCCACCCCCTGCCATGGGCAGGGCCACTTCCCACCAGCCCCGGTTGCCCAAAGCCTCATCCAGCCTGGCCTTGAACCCCTCCAGGGATGGGGCATCCACAGCTTCTCTGGGCACCCTGGGCCACTGCCTCACCACCCTCACAGGAAAACATTTCTTCCTCACATCTCATCTTCCATTACAGCCACGAGACATCAGGGTGTGCCTAAAACCAGCTACCTAAATATATGCATTTCATGCTATTTGAGGTGCCCAGAGTATTTCAGATATCTACACGACTGGGAGACACGATACAGCTCCTAAGGGAGGTTTCTGTGCTGTAGAGAGGCAGCTGGAGGTCAGCTGCGATACTCTAGGACTTTTCCAACAGCACCAGTTGTGACCAACTGAATGAAGCTCTGGGAATGTGTCCCATGGCTGAGCACCAATTCCATTTTGGGTACATGTGAATGCCCAGGTTGGCGGTTATGGGTCCTTCCCATGGAGCATCATACTGCTTGTGCCGGTACCTCAGCTTCCCAAGGAAATACGGGAGCTTCGACCGCTGTCCAGCAGCTGGTTCTCAGCTCTCGGCTAAGACACAGCATCTGACTGTCCCACCACACAGGAGCTTCATGAAAACTACCGAAACCAATCTCAGTGTTAATTCAGTGTGTTCCCAGACCTCCCGTGACCAAGTTCAGAATCAGGAGTGAGACCATGTAACTGTAGCCACACTGGAAGCAAACAATAGCACTGTAAATCCTCAGCTGTGTAAAAGAACATTCATCCCCATTCTTCCCATGGTCATAGATGATTTATCACAGAATCATAGAATAGAATCATAGAATCACAGAATCGTTACGGTTGGAAAAGACCTCAAGGATCATCAAGTCCAACCGTCAACCCAACACCCCCTAACTCACTAAACCGTGTCCCTAAGCACCACATCTACACGTGTCTTGAACACCTCCAGGGATGGTGACTCCACCACTTCCCATCCATGATTTATCATGTCACTGTTCAGGGCTTTAAAAGTTAAAAAAATAACACAAGAAAACAAAAAACCCACTCCCATGTGAAAATAAAAAAAAATCACTGTAAAACCTGTGCAGAATAAAAAACCAGAAGCACACTCTGAGGAAAACCAATGGTGTTTCAGGTTCAGATACTCCAGTTCATACACCTGTGAAACCAAACAGTTATTTGAAGCTATCGGTTGAAGGACTCCCTTCTCATCTGCATGTGAGTACATATGCAATAATGCAAATGGACAAAAATAACTCATTGTAAAAATTTATTAGTTCTTGTGGGGTTACACTAAGAAGGAATTTAGTCCAGTATATTCATCCTTTAATTGCTTGACTCAAGAAGAAACTTCAGATGTTCGGTCAAATTCATGTTCTTCTGGCCAAGTCTTTTGGTAAATGAACAGAAAATGCAGTTTGACTAAATGCAAAGGAAAATGACCATTTGACCAAAGCATTAGCATTGCTTCTTTCGTTTTTTTTCTTTGCAACTCTGGCTTTCATGCAGCTATTGTTTTATTTGATTTGTTTTCTCAATCTGTTGACCACTTGGTTTAGATTTCAGAGAGGATTTCTATCAGCATCACAAGTTACTCCTGCAGAGAAGCTTTCTGAAATTACACCCTTACAGCCCAAATCACAAGAACAATCTATTACATTACCCTTAGCAAAGCTCCATCATGTTCTAAGGAAAAAAACCAAAAAGTTACTTCTGTACTTCCTCTACATTTTCTATCTGTTCAGTGAAAAAAATACAACCAACCAACCAAACAACCAAAAAACCCCCAAAACCACAACAGCATTCCAGTTCTCTGGACATTAGGAAAGGCCACATTTTTAATGTCTTCATAAAACCTCAACATTTCTATACTCCTGTCTCTTTGAGCCCTTATACCTTGCTCCAGATTGCAACCATAAGAGCAAATGACAGCAATTCTCCCCACCAGCTTCTCTTGGCTGTATCAAATCAGGAGCTTGCTACCTGCTCCCATCACCCAGCACCTCTGTCAAGAGCTCAAGACCCAATTCATCCATATTTATTCGCAGAGAGGTCCTGTAGTTGCTTTGTGGAAGGATCTTCTTCTGCCAAATATTTGCTTTTGTAACAGAATAACAGAGCCAGGTTTTGCTCTCTGTGCACAACGTTCACTGCTGGTGCTGTCCTACATGAGAATCCAGTGACGGTGGCATTTTGGGGATGCTACGTTAATATCAGCCAAACACGGAGTTGAGGGACCTCGGTACCTTCTTGGAGCCTGAAAACCCAGAGTTAGCACTTGACAAAACAAAGGCAGGCCTCTGATTCAGAAAAAAACCCAATAAATACAAACATCTTCCCACCCTGATTTCACTATTTGGACTCTTGCCTGGATAATTCATTTGAAAACCAAATCCAGCCTAGCAACTGCCTTGAAAATTGAGTAACCCCAGGTTCAACTGTATTAAAAAACTTCAGCTTCAGGCAAAACTCATGGAACAGCTCATTCACAGTACTTTCACCAAGCCCTGGCCCTCATTTTATGTTTTTCTGATTACATTTATATTGTGTTACAATTTACTGGCAGCACAATTGTATTATAATATACATTACCACTAGCTGACTCTGACTGCACGCATTCAGTTCCATCAGCAGCTAAAGACGCACGGCTCCATGCATATTCATCGCTGTATCGCCACTTCTCAGCTGGTAAAACAGCTGCATGAATCAGCAACAAGTTTCATAACTTAAAATAGATGTAACCCTGCAGGATGCTTGGGCTCGACGCACAACACAATTCTCACCTGGAGGCTGGTAGGAGCTAGGAACGTGATGCACTCACCTACAGTATTTCTCCACTCAAGCATAGCCCTACCCTAAAGCCACATTAGCGTTCCAGTTTGGAGCAGAAATGTGCTTTTGTAACAAATCTCCTGATCATTGTATCACGCTTTGGTTCACCTCACAGAGTGGGCTTGGGATGAATGAACCCCGTTCCTTTTGCTGGAGCTAATGCAGAAATGCACCATTGACTTCCATCTGCTGGTGGCACGTGGTTCACGGGACCAAGCTCCAGCTCCTGCAAAGCAAACCCTCTTGAAAAAAACATAGTGTGCTCTGGGTCCTCAGTACAAACTATTTTGTTCTGTAGATCTGCTCCTCTCATCCCATACTTCTTGCTAAATGAGTTGAACATGGGTATCTGACCTCTAGGCAGCAGCTAGGACTTCAGCCTAGCCTGTCTTAGAGGCAGGAATTCATTCTATAAACTATGGGGTTGGATGGTTTCTATCCTCAGCAAACAAAAATATTTCCTTTAAGTTAACATTCACATCTGACTTTATGAAAAAAAAAAAAAAAAAGCCATCTAGCAAACACACAATTTTCTGTTTGGAGGACATTCTTAACTCTCTTCCAAGTCCTCAGCTCAAAAAGACACCTAAGAGTGCGTGCTCAATTATTCAGCCAGCAAGCAAATAAAGTACCTTTGCTTTTACTCATTCGCCGTGCCACAAACCTGTCGAGTCACTCATACGCACTGCAGTTGCTATACTGCTGATATCTGTTAGTCCTCCCTCCATTTGGTGTATGCACCACTGCTTATCATGGAAAAATCAAGTGTTCTGCCATCCCCATATGTTTTTATCTGTCATTATCAGGTGCATATATCACTGCCAGAAGAGCTTGGTATTTATTTTAATTTACTGCAATAATAAGGGAAGCGCTTGTGTTACATTAAAATAATGTAATGTAATGCAAAACATTTAATATGAAAAGGGATTCCTGAACATATTGCTTGCTCAGTATGTTTCCCATACAACCCTTCTACTGCTGCTGCAACACCACAGTAGACAATATTGCAGATATTGTTGTCGATAACACCTAGAAACTGAATATCCTCTAGGAATTCCAGCACATATTTGTCATGTTTCCTTAGCTGGCAACACAGTCCCTTCCTTCCCCCCCTTCAGTGCAAATCCAAACTCTCCATGTGATCACTTACAGAGTTCTGCCTAATTATAGAAATGCACTAATTATACACACCTCTCAAATGGTGATAGACTTCAAAGTAGGTAAATTTTAAATGGTGCCATTAAGAAAATCTATTTGATGATGGAAATGTCTGTAATATCATATTGCCATCTCCTACATTGTAATTTTGCTTTCAAGTCAGTGTTAATTTAATGACAAATTACAGCAGAGAATAGTAGAGTTGGGAAAGCAAACTGAAAGCTGGAAGATTTACAGTGTGATACTGGTCAGCAGATGCTAAGAAAAACGATCAAAAACAATTTGGAAAAGCGATGGATCTAAAGTAAACAATGAGTAGAAAGGAAGAACATGACAAATGTGAATATTGAACCATCAGAAACCACTCTCCTAACAAAGACAAACACCTGCAAGACTGACTTGTCCCCATGTGTTCAGCTACTCACGAGAAAATATATATGTCATTGAACACTTAATTTACATGCAGAGTTATCACACTGCTAGGAACGGCTTGAAAATTGGTTACTTGCAGTTCAGAGCATCTCTTAGCAGGCACAGTAACGCCAGCTGCACGTCCAACCCAGCCCTGCGAGTGCACACAGCTCACCCACCAACCTCACGCACAGCTTCGTGAAACCCAAACGGCCACACGTGACCCCAGCACGTGCACTTCCTTTTCAAACCTTGGTACGTACCTCTGACTGGTATATCCTCACTCTTCAAAACACAGGTAAAAACCTTTAACGTTAGATATTCACCAAAAAACCTGATTCTTCAACATAACACTTTAGTGAAGCCATTATATACGTGAATGCATGAAAGCCAATTTAAAAATATTCTTTTAGCACTAGTTAATAATGACTCTGTCTATTGCCCTGATGATGTAGGTGAGTAGTTTATTTCATATAAGAATGTATATATCTCTGCTGTAGAATCTGGATCTTGCATTGACACGGCCACTGGGCAGATCAGACAGCAATTACAATGCAGCACCACTACAGGACACTAATCCCTCTGCCTTTAGTTAAATAACAGCTTGTGTGGCAGGGAAGAGACAGAATCCATCTTCGCTGAAAAATGTGCATAGAAAGAGAAACGGTCGATCTTCCCTCACACAAATCCTGGTGTCAAAACAAACAGTCTTACCAAGTCCCAGGCTGTCACATTTAATCAAAGACATTTATGGAATGGCTCGATAGAAGCATTTTACAAGCAGCAGGTGGGTGATCCTGAGTTACCAAGCTCAAATATTGATCAGGACTTTCTGACAGTGTTCAAGAAATTCCTAGGTCTGAGATTTTGGCTACATCCTTCAGAGGATGGCATCCAAATGTGCTCGAAAAGCTTTCAGATCACAGACTTTTGCTCTGGTGCACTCACATAAAGAAGTCTCTAGATGAGATTAAAACTATCTCTACAAAAGTAACTATTTTTCTTTCTGCATAGTTATAAAATGACTCACACACACAAAAAAAACATTTCACAAAATTTGGAATTTAAAGCAAATAAGATGCAAATTTGGAATTTAAAGCAAATATGAGCTCCTCACTGGAATGGGGAGCTCCAATAGCAACACGGACACAACGCACAGCACAAGAAGTCATGTTGTGTTAACTGGTGACGTCTTTGATCTCCGCTCACGCGTACAGCAATTCCACGCCCTGCCCAACCTTACCTTTTGATATTCTTCCTTAGATCTCAAGGCAGCTTCCATCTGTTCCTGAGAAAACGTGTAGATGGCCGAGCGATACTGTGTGCCAAAGTCATTACCTTGTCGCATTCCTGGGGAGCGAGAAAACACAGCACACCATGAGGATCAGCCGCCCTACCCGACTGGGCTGAAGGCATAAATCCAACAGACCTAAATTTAGGACGTTCCATACACCTGGATTAGCATGGTCTCTTATGTGCGTGCTCAGTAAGTAGTTTTCGGAAGTCCAAATCTTTCTTTGGTTAAATGCTCCTAAAGAGATTCAACTCTGATATCTCCTTTTAAATAACTTGCAAAAGCAATGTGAGCATTTTACATTTTGGTAAATCACACCGTAGTCAAAGAGAGACGTAAAACCTTAAATAATCAAGCTGCAGTTACTGTAATCAAGGTGCTCTTAAAATATTTATTTTTGAACGATGCAAAAGGCTACCAAGAAAAGTTGATTTTACCAAGTTTTTAAAAATTTTCTTCTGCTGGAGAAGTATATCTTAATGGAAGAAAGGTTCAAAATACACTTGGAGATAACCAGCTGTTCTCCCCTATTCACAAAGCAATGAATTTGCTAAAAGACTAGTATGCACGTATTGCTGAATTAACTCTGACATTATCAACTCCTACCATCACCAGCACTAGTTATGGAGAGAAGGAATGAGTCCTATGAAGCCCTTAAATCTGAGCTCCAAAGAGGACTCCCATTGATAAATACACTAAGGAGAAGGTTTGCAGAAAGTCTGGCTGTGTTAGTACTGTTATAGAGTGAGTAATGCTTAGGAACAGCAACTCTTTCACAAGTTTTTTTGAATTTGGGAGAAGTACAAAACAAAGATATATATGTAATACTGTTTATATATAACATTACGAAAATAAAACTATAGCTATACATGCTCAGTAACTCCTCAAAATGATACCATAAATGAACAATTTTAGCACAAGGATTAGCCCATTTGCTGTTGATATATGTAATCCCTTCAAAAGCCTGGTTGTATGAAGTTGCTCATGTACAAATTTACAAAATACAAGATGGATTCTACCTATGAAACTATAAAATAATGGGCCAAAGCAGAGGGAAGATTACTGTCCCCTTAGGTGACCCGCCCAGATACGGTTTGGCATTACACAGTCCCAGGCAGCCACGCTGGCCAAGAACATTGCTGCCTCCCATCACTATCCGTTCCCACTGCCCCAGGCAGCCATACCGCAAGCCAGCTTTGCTGTGGATCGTTCCATAAAGTTAAACAACAGCCTCAGAGCAGAGCTTTAGCATTAAGAATGATCTGGATGTGCAGTTTTGCAACTGTAATTGCAGTTTTGCAGTTTCTTTCTTTTGTAACTTTTTGTAGTGGTTTTAAACCCTGCAGGCAGCAAATGCCACGAAGCCACTCGCTCACCCTCCCTCCTTCCAGGAGTCAAGAAGAGAATTAAAGGGATAAAGGGAAGAGAGACTCAGGGGTTGAGATAAGAACAATTTAATAACTAAACTACAATAAAACTGAAAATAATAATAATACTAATAATAATGATAGCTGTAATATAATCACATATATAACTATACAAATGAGTGACACACAGTGACACTGCTCACCACCCGATGACCAAGGCTCAGCCCATTCCCGGATAATGATCCCAGAGCAGGGAGAGTCCCAAAACTGCAATCCCAGAAAAGGAGATAAGAGCCTAAGTGTCTGAGAGACCGAGAGCAGACTGAGAGACCAAGATGACCCAGAGAGAGAGAGAGAGAGAGAGGACATCCAGACAGATCCTTACCTATATACTGGCCATGCCGGGCATGGTATGGAATAAATCACTGGACAATTTGGGTCTCAATCCTAAACCTAAGGACGAATCCTGGGCTGGTCACTGGGGCTGTGCTCCCTCCCAGCTCCTCCTGCCCCTGCAGACACGGGCACAGCAGAGAAGCTGGAAAGTCCTTGACTGTCCTGGCAGCAGCTCTGCCCATCAGTGTGTGATCAGCTTCTGCTCAGCACAAACCCAAACACAGCCTCACACCAGCTGCTGGGAACAAGGTTAACTCCATCCCAGCCCACACCAGGACACCTTGTTCCCCCCAGTTTTGCCTTCTAGAACAGAACTTTTTGCTTTGCTGTAATAAAATACATTTTCTGTTTGTCTGGTGTTTTCTGTGAAGATGGGTGCGTGAAAAATTTGGAGTGACTGCAACCCAAGAGAAACTGGAAATCATCAGGATTTGTCTTTTGACTGCCACTAGACTACAGAAGCCTCTTTGAAGGCTCTCAGGACTCTGGAGATGAAATGGAAAAAAAAGACATGTAGGTCTTGATACCCCCCTAGCAAAGGGCAGAGGGCAGAGAAAGAGTCTGTAACACCGGGGGAAAAGATGGCATCAACATAATACTACTCATTAAAATGTTATAACTTTTATCCTTCTTATACTTTCCAAAGAAACAGAAAAATGGTTTAAAGAACAGTACAAGCAACAAATGAGATCTGGCTGAAATATTTATGAACTAAAAGATGCAGAAATGTTTTCAAAGATGCCTTTGGTCAAAAAGTCTGTTCAGTGACCAACAGTACACATGAGTGAATATGATTTGGAAAAATGGAGTTTTCTGATGATTTGGGTTACTTTTTAACTGCTAAAATATTACATTACTACACATAAAACAACAGCTACACTCTTTATCAATACTTGGTAGTGTGTTCTGCAAGGCAGAGAATATTTTGCTCATTTCTTTGCAAGCTATTTTAAGGTGGTAAGGAGCTCTTGCAGAGCCAGTGCTACTGAATAGTTTAGGCATAAAACGAATCCAGGCCAGTAAAGCATTAGTTTTGCCAGGATATGTTAATGCTGCTTGATGTTCAAGCTTAAGCATTAGCATTCTACAAATCTATTTATTGCTTAACAAACTACTTAACAACCAACTAGGGAGTAGATTACAAAAATCTCTATAAATGGAGGATCACTACGTAGTATGCCAGTTTCTAGCATGTATTTCAGGAGTATGAGTTTAGCATGAACTCATTTGCATGGTGCTCTGAGCGAGAACATAAACAAAATTATTTAATATATGCACATGCCACCCCTACATGCTAATAAGGAAGCGGTCAGCTTAATTAATTTAATGAAAAGAAGGTCAGGAGGAGAACTGACTCTGATTTACAAACACATATATAGAGAAATAACCCAAGAAATAAGGTTCTTTAGTCTTGCCAAAGATGCTTAACTAGGCAGAGCAATTGCAAGCCAAAGTATACAAAATCCAGATGGGAAATAAGGCAACATTCAAATAGTGAAGCATTTCTCACTGGAACAAGGCACCTAAAGCCACATCCCTTTCCTGAGGGCTTCACGTCAAGGATACACATTTTCCCCAAAGATATACCAAAGCTCAAAGAGCTGTACAAGGTCAGTGATGAAATTCTAAAGGCGAGGAGGAGGCCAGACTGTGCGGTAATAGCCACCCCTCCTAGAACTCAAGCATTGGCTTGCTCTGTTAACCCATCCACAAGCTACGAAGAAGACTGAATCGGTATTGTATTACCCCAAAGTGTAACTTTAATGGGATCAATCATCTAAGCTAAAATGTCATTTATTTTCACTTGTTACTTAAACTAATTTGTACATAAATCTCCTGCAATAAGTAGCTAATACATTATCTAAGCCACAAAGACTACAAGATCACAAAACAAAAATAAATTCCACATGTACAGACGTAATCAATTGCCACTGTTGCTGTTGTTATTTCTAAGGTACCTCACATGTACAAACTTACTTCTCAAGGGTCCATCTCTGATCTTTCAAGTCTCACTTGTTGAGATTCACTAACTCAATGAGTAGCAAACAAGGCAAGAAATTCAATTTACTTAACAACTGCGGTAGGATGATTGAGCTCAACAATCTTGTCTTTGTCCGAAATAAAGACTACTAAATCAAAAATGATCTCTGCTTGGCTATCTAAAAATTCCACAATGTCATCTGCAGTTAACTCTCCTTCCATTTCTGAAATGTCTTTCTTATTTTGTTTGTCATGGCTTTCTGCCCCTCTCTGTTAACATAACACAACAGTTACACACATTAGGCTTCAGATGAGAATGTGAAAATATAAACAATTAATTTAATAAAGATGGTAAATGTATTGGAAGACATCGTGCAATGCTAAATCAAAAGCCATGATCACAAGGGATTGTCAACATTGGTGCTATTGGATGCACATCAACTCTGAAAGAGTTTTCTGCTGAGACAATGAACCAGCCTCTGATCTTCCGTGCACCAAAGTGGTTCCACTGAAGTCAAGAAATTTGTTCTAAGTTTATAATAATATAACTAAAACCACAAATAATCTCCACAGGCTTCAAGTCATTCACCTTACCTACAAGGTCCCAGGTAACTAAAGAGGCCATTAAAATATTTGTTAATCACCATTCAGAACCAGTATCTATTGAAAACTGTAATCAGACACTATAAAAACACTGAGATTTAGAAGTGCTTTGAATGTACAATATTTTTGTTACATTTTCATAGAAAAATGAAGAAATCTCTTGACATTGCATGGATTGGATGGGTAAAAGCAATATTTATTATCACTAATGTATGCATTTCAGGATTAGATTTCCTATAAAATTCTCTACAAAGAATTTTATCCAAATAAGACATTTGCACTTGAGAAGAAGAAAGTTATTTTTTCACCTGTGCCAAACTCTGTTTTTAAGAGATGCATATGATTTTGCTTTAATTCCAAATCAAACCAGTGAATCAGGTGTGTCTAAATCTTCACTACTGGAAGAATGAAGAATTCCCACAGAGCATCAGCTGCACATCTTCAGAGCAGCTGGATCTTCTAGGCAGGGAAATGCTGATTCCCTACAATTGTTCTTCTGCAAGTCACTCTCCGTGCAATCTGCCAATTTAGGGATAGAATTTAGGGTAAAGCCGGGAGATATTTCTTTTACTCAAGAATACAATATATGAGGAGATCTGTCAGCAGGATCTGAACATGCTTTCCATTCTGTGCTGAGATGATAACCAGATTGTTTCCTAGAGATACAAAATGTATTAACACTGAGGAATGAGTTCTCTGACAGGAAGAAA